GTGAGAAGAGGAGGAGACGCAGTGGTGGTGAGAAGAGGAGGAGACGCGGTGGTGGTGAGAAGAGGAGGAGACGTGGTGGTGGTGAGACGAGAAGGAGACGTGGTGGGACAGAGATGGGAGAAAAGAGAGATATGAGAGTGAAGGAGAAGATGGAGAAGATGAAAATTGAATCAGAAAAAAAAAGAGAGAGAGGGAGGGATTGTCGTGGAGAGAAAGAGAAAGAGAGAGAGAGAGAGAGAGAGAGGGAGGAAAAAATAAAAAAATAAAATGAATAAATCTCAACCTTTAGATCTAAGTTAATCCAATGGTTAGGAAATATGATCCATGTAATTGAATCTTATTGGCCAGAAAAATTTATTTTTCTTTTTCTATTTTTGTTTTTGTCTTCACTAATTGATAATTTATTTTGTAAGTAACTTTTCTTTGTTATATCTTATATAAAACTTTATATTTTGTAGTTAATAATTTAAATTTAAAGTTTTTCTTTTTGACATGATAAAATGATATTGATTTTAAAAACTGATATTTAAATTTGAAAATATTAGATTGATATCAAGATTATGATTTTGGTCACCATTTTTAAAATTTGTATGTTTATACTAAAATCTGATTTATTGTTTAATCTGATTTGTAATTCGTTTATAAATTTGTATGTTTGATTTTTAAGTCGAAAAATTTTAAAATTAGATTTTATGGTTTAAAAGAAGTTATGATTAAGAGTAAAATTTGGTTTTGTGTTTTAAGGTTTGGATGTTGAAATATGAGGTTTAGGGTTAAAGTTTAGTATTTTGGATTAAAGTTGGAAAATAATAGAATGGAAGACTAGATATAAAATTTGTACTTAAAATTTTAATAATTTAGATTTGAAGTGTATACTTAAGTATTGGATGTATAGTTTATGTTTGAAGTAATGGTTTAGAATATAGAGTTTCATTGAAGATAAAAGATATGTTTTTAGTAAATTATATCTTAAAATTAAGAAGATGAAATTTTGAGTTTATTTTTAAGATTTGAAGTTAAAGTATGAAAAATAAAGTTTTAGGGGTTGTATTTAGAGTTTAAGGTTGAAAACCATGTTTGGGGTTTAGGGCTTCAAGTAGATTTTTATAGCATTATAAAAATACTATTAGATGTCTTTGATAATATTTTCGAAGCCGCTCAAATAATATTTTGGGCGCTTACATCCAATTACCCACTAAGTATTGGCGGTACCAGGGATTTTATTTTCCCGCTCACTTCATTTTCAGAATAGCATTGATTAAGTGCTATTTTAGATTTTGATTTATTATAGCGTTTATCTAATGCTATTATATAAAACGGAAAATTTTAAGTCATCTACGATAGCAGTTCAGTAAAACGTGCTATAACAATATACTATTAATGTAGACTTTTTTTGTAGTGCAAGTTGCGAGTGACATTTGAGACGAAACCAACGTCTTTGTTCAAGTGAAGGTTGTTCTTCTGGTACATTCTTTTTTTATTTAAAAGAGGATTAGCATTTGTGTCTTTATAAGATAATCACTTAGTATTCTGATTCGTTTATTTGAATAGTCTATTAAAGTTTCCGAGTAGCTTCATGACATGTGTGATGTATACTTTCGCATGAACAATCCTGCATGTCGTTGCTAAATTCGAATATATCTTTTGACGTTTAGATTAATTGATTTCGTATAATCATAGTGGGATTCTTATTTGGACTGTGTCAAATGTCATTGAGACGAGTGTCGTAAAAGAATTATATAATGACCTTTTAAAATAATAACTTCGATCATGATCATATTTGTTTGTGTGTGAATCTTTCCATTTTCTTTTAATTGACTGATCCATCGTGGAGGTCAACTAAGGTCTAGCTAATCGTAAAGTGCTTAGTCAACCATGAATTTCGTTTCCCTTACCTTTTTATATATGGTTCCTTCTCTTCCTTAGAGAAAGAAATAAATATTTAGATTCCAGTTGCATTGATTTTAATTAACGTCAGATTACGAAAGTCATAAGAGACCTGCACGTTACTTATTTTTTCACTATAAAATTCCAAGAGGTTATGAGATATTGTAAGAGCTTATGAGAACTTATAATAGAATCTTTATAAAATTGGGTAAGTACTAGAACGCCCAACACGACGAAAAAGTGTGAATCAACCTACTTGATCTTTTCAGAATTTTACTCGTGCGGAAGTTATTATTGCTGCCACATTTTACTTTGTGACCACTGTTTCCTGTGCTCTTCTTAATCTCGGCTTTAGCCTGCTCATAGTTAAATGAAGAGTAATAACTAAGAACCGAGAACTCAAAAGTTAGACCAAAAACTTGCTTGTGGTTCTGAAATTATTAAGAGTCTTACAAAACCATTAGCTCTTGAATAAATTATCACTAAGTGAAAATTTTAAATTAAAGTGAAATTTTGAAATCCCTCATAAAAGTGTAAAAAGTAAATTATTTTCAGAATGAACTTTCTAAATAAAATAAAATATTAAAACTGAAAAAGAAGAACATGGGAATCAATTTAATCTTAGTAAACAATTAAAATGCAAATCAAGTTTCCTTTTTGTGTTTAAGAAAATATTAAACTTAGATTTGGTTAGACTGAGTTTTTAAATTTGATATTGTTCATAGATTTTTCAAATTTTAAGATGGTTGTATGCTAGTGCTCAGTAGTTTATGAAGGAAATAACAAATTTAACAACCGCAAGGACTAATAACAGTTTCTTTGTTGTTATATGGTAAACACCAAAGACAAGCTGGGACTTTCCTGGAGCACCTAGCCTAGCAAAATGTTTCCACAGGGAAGATGTCTGGCCAAGCCTGCAGGGCTTTTTTCTGCGTGAATATGCAGAAGTACACATAAACGTTTGAACCAACTATTTATCTGACACTGTTTAAGATAACAAGATAAGAGACACCGAAACCAAAATACAAATGACAAACCTTATTCATAAGATTCTGCCCGCATCGTTGTGGCCAAGTAGATGAGACATGGGAATGTGCAACAACACTCTTTATGAGGCTTGAGTTTCATAAGTGTGTGAAAAGTCTATGTCTGGAATTCGGTTCATATAGTTACATGGTAATCTGATAAGGGGCGATTTGGTTATCTCTAACATTAAACGGAAAGCATTTGTATCTCAATTCATGATAACTGGTTCACTTTGTAGTATTAAATATGTTCTTTTTCGAAGCTTCGGAGCTGACTGGATCATCCATAGCCATAGAGTATATAAGAAAAAGGCTTGAACATAAGAAATAGTGTCCGCATGAATTTTACAGATGAATATGATGATGATTGTCAAGTGTACGCAACAATAGACATCGGCATGTTATTGATGAGATCGGAAGGAAAGATCATGTCATAATTTGGACGGTGGACCTAACTAGGCTACGTGTGGAACAAGGTACATTTGCTTTCGTTCTCTTTTGGGTTTTAACGAATTATTATGTTCTTTTTCTTTTATTATCTCTATCTATATAATACGATATATATAACATATATCCTTTGTGTTATATGCATTTCAATTGTATATGTTATTTTGTGCGTACAAGGCTTATAATGATGTGAAAAAAATCAGTGTTCTGGAAATCAGTATAGGTAAGGTGGCTTGTTTAGGCGGCAAATCAATTATAATTGAAACGATATTTTTAGAATCCAATTTTTATATACGACTCAAATCAATAATCGATTGAAACAGTATAAATTGATTAAAATTGTTTAAATAGATTAAAATAGTCTAAATCTCTTAAATCAATCATGTTAGTTTAAATTCACAAAAAAAATACCCAGTTTTTTTTGTTTATCTAACTTTTTTAGTTCCTCAAAATAAAAATTTATAATTAAATCTAAAAACTAAAATATCTAATATCAAAATAAAATATTCAAAATAAATCACTAATTTTTAACGACTAGATCTCGCATAGTCCCGAATAACATTTACGTTCACCATCCAATAGGATTACATTATTTCATAATTGATATCTTTTTTTAAAAAAAAGAAACAAAATCTAGTTAAGTTATTTTATGTTTTTAAAAATAAAAATACAAAAATAAATAATTAATAACAATTAATAAAAATGAAAATAATTATTTTTAAAGATAATATTTTAAAACTGAACCCTAAACTCTAATTTTAAACCCTAAACCCATGGGTAAATCATAAACCTTTGGATAACTTTTATAAACATTTTTTTAAAAAAGGTTATTTTAAAACTAAACCCTAAACTCTAATCCTAAACCCTAAACCATTGGGTAAATCATAAATACTAAACCCTAAACTCTAATCCTAAACCTTAAACCCTTGGGTATAAATCATTAACACTAACCCTAAACCCTTGGGTAAATCTTTAACACTAACTTTTTAAAACACTATAAGATTTATCCAAAGATTTATAATTTACCCAGGAGTTTAGGGTTTAGGATTAGAGTTTAGGGTTTAGTGTTAAAATATTTTCTTTAAAAATAATTATTTTCGTTTTTATTAATTATTTTTTTTTATCTATTTTTTTCTATTTTTATTTTTAAAAACTTAATATAACTTAATAAGATTTTTTTTCTTTTTTAAAAATATATCAAATATAAAATAATACAATTCTATTGGATGTTGAATCTTTAGGTTCACCGTATGAGGTGAACCCAATAATAAGTCTTAATCTTTTACTAAACGACCCAGTACGCCTAGTTACCACCTAAGAATTTTTTGAATATTGAAAAAATATTTAATTATAGCAGCTTAGTAACACACAAAGAAAAATATAACATTAATAAATGTGATATATATTACTGGCATATTAATTTATTGGATTGCGGATAAAATTACTAATCGGTGATTCGATGATATATATCGCATTACATCAGGAATAGGTTTCTCCCTCTTTTGCCTTGTCAAGTACCAAACCACTGGTTTCAACTTTCGTTTAAATGGAATCTTCATGTGCTGATTAGAAATCAAACCCAAATCTTACACCAAAATGTTCAGTTCGGGAGAGCAATATGGACTAGCATTTTGGTTACTTTTCAGATTTTGTTCACGACTAGAACAACCTTCTTAACCGGACAAAGTCTTGCTCAATTCAATACAAATTTGGTTTGAGTTGTAAACCCAACCTTAAACCATATTCCCCTCAAAAATATAAATTCAGATACAACAAATCCAGGAACCAACCTCCCTCCAAAAACAGTATTACAAAAACAATGATCTCAGCCTGAGCAACAACCAGAGGATTTAACAGCAGTAACATCATCCTTGTTTCCAATATCAATGGTCTGTCCTTTAGGCAAAGATGTCGGATCTCCAGTGCCATCAAGAGCTTTACGGCTCATAACACGATAGATCTGAGTCAAAACATGAGTGAAAGCTTGCTCAACATTTGTAGCATCAAGAGCAGATGTTTCCATAAAGAACATATTCTCTCTTTCAGAGAACGATCTAGCTTCTTCGGTGGGAACAGCACGAAGGTGACGAAGATCAGCTTTGTTTCCAACAAGCATGATCACCACGTTGGCATCGGTATGGTCACGAAGCTCCTTGAGCCATCGTTCAACGTTCTCGAACGTTACGTGTCGAGTTATGTCGTATACTAGAAGAGCCCCTACTGCTCCTCTGTAGTATGCACTCGTTATTGCTCTGTATCTGTGTAACAACAAAACAGATACATCTCTATAATATTATTTGATAAGTCAGTTTCCTATGTGTCGCTCTCACGTTCACTCTGACGATGGTTGATTACATTGATACCCTTAATGAATTAAAAATAATTAAAATAATATTATTATTTTTTTATTTAGTTTTCTTTTCAAAAATTTCCAAAAATATATGTAATAAAAAGGAAAATTTTTATTGTCATAAAAACAAATTTAAAACGAAAAATATATGTATATATAATATGATTTCATAAAAAAGGAAAGTTCACAAAATAGTAATAATACATTAAAAATATTTTTAAATAACATAAAATATACTTTTAGAGTAATAAAAATAGTTTATAATTAGTATTATTGAATTTATTTATTTATTTTTCATATATTTAGTTGACTATAATATCTTTCAATTAGATAAAATTATCAATAAATAATATTTTACTTATCTCATACTATTTTCAAATGCAATCACAGTTTTATGTAGTGGTTATTTTTAAGAGATATTAAAAACTAAAAATAAATTTAACAATAAATATCACTTGATCAAATAATTTTATCATTATTAAAAGTATTTTTTTCTTAATATTAAATTTTATTTTAAATTTTAAATTTTTATGTTTGTGAAACTAAATATAACCATAATCAAAATACCAAAGCAAATCTGAATTCTCAATTTTAAGATTATTTAAAATAAATTTATGTTTACATTCAATATATCTAAAGCATAAAGTTATTTAGAATTTATAAATATTTTAATTATTGTAAATATTGATATGTGTTCATGAGGTTCCAAAAATGTATCAACTACTTATGCATGTAGCATTTTATTGATCATAGGATAACTCAAAACATATTAATAAATGAAAATAAATATTAACAAAATCTTACAATTTTAGTTTTTTAGTAAAATTTATATATATGCATGAGACTTTAGAATACTATCGTTATATTCATTTACGTATTTTGGAATCAGACACTTTAATTAATTTTTAATTCATTCTAAGCACAATATATCTTAAGTTATACATAATTTTACTAAAATATATTTACATATCTAAGACAATACCCACTATATTCAGAGATATAATTCAATTTATCCAAATGATAACTAAATCAACCGTAAAAACAACAAAAATCGACTAGATATAACATATATAAAATTAAAGTATAATTAAAGTAATATAATATTATTGATATAAATGATACATACAAATTATAAATTAATTTAAAATTAAAACTAAATAATAATCAATTATTATCATATATTTACTTTAAAAATATTTATACCCCTGCATGAGCACGGGAAAATCACCTAGTAAATAATGAGAAACCAAAACAAGCTACGATATTATATTCATGTTTTTTATATAATTAATATTATATTCATGTTATTGTAATATAGTTTTTTTTTGTTACGGGAATATTTAAATGTTGATCTTTTTTTGTCAGCAACATTATATTTAAATGTTGATCTAGTTAGCTATTATATTGGAAAAAAGCCTTAGATAACAAAAAAATATATGACAAAATCATCCCACAAGGAAAGAATTACAAAATAGCATTCATTAATTATTTCAAACTCTAAACTTCCTTCTCTAGTCTCCAACCCCTAAATATTAAACCATAAACTCTAACCACTTAACCCTAGATTCTAATTACTAATCATAAACCCAAATATAAAATATTTTTAATGTTTTAATATATGTTATTTTAGAAGAAAAAAATATGTTTGTGTGCTTTTGGAGCAAAAATAAATTTTAGTGTTATTTTAGAGTATTTTTATTATATTTATGTACACTTCATCAATATTTCATATTTTCTTATTGATATAAAGATGTTAAATAACAAAAAGCTTTAATAAGCTTTGATAAAGGTCAGGAAAACTTTAATACATCAATTTCGTATATGAGTAACAAAACTAATTGGTTCCAATATGTTATATGCAATAAAACAGAGAGAAAACGAGGATTTGAAAGAAAAAAAAAATCGAGGATTTGTATTACCTTTCTTGACCGGCGGTGTCCCAAAGCTGAGCTTTGATGGTTTTCTCGTCGACATGGACGCTTCTTGTCGCGAACTCAACACCGATGGTAGACTTTGACTCAATACTAAACTCATTTCTGGTGAATCGAGATAAAAGGTTAGATTTTCCGACGCCGGAATCTCCGATCAAGACTAGTTTAAAGAGATAATCGTAGTCGTCGTCGGATTTGTACGCACCCATTTCTGAAACACAAAATGAAAATAATGAAGGAAGTCGTATCTTTGATCGATGTAAAAAAAAACTTAGAGAGATTGTGCAGTGATCATATGGTATGATTGATGTGTTGCATGTTATGATTTGTAATGAATAAAAACAGAGGGTAGTGGGTAACGACGAAAACCTTATTGGTTTAAGATCAATGATTTGTTATTATTAAATGGATGACTAAGCATATATATTTTGAAAGTCGTTGGAAAGATTAGAGAACAAACATGTTTTGACGAATTCTCGAGGTTTGTGGCCGCCATGAACTGGTGAGCGTAGAACATATACATTTGCAAGGTATATTTCTTCAATTTAATTGATAGCTTTGCTCAAAATCAAATCTGATCCTTAGGAAACTTTTCCATAAAAAAAGATAGGAATGTGTAAGAAAATATTTGGGAGATGTTATATATGGTATTAATAAATTGCTGCTTTAACTTATCACATTTTTAATTGTATTTTTGGTCAAAATGACAGTTAAGTTTATGTTTAAAGATATTGTTGTAAAAGACGATTAAAACATGAAGTAGAGGTGTAATTATTGAGAGTCGCATGTTTAGTTGAATGAGTTGAGAATTGAGTTAGATCTTAACAATTCTAAAGGAAAAGTAATGAGTTTCTTTTTTTTTTGTTGAAAAATAATGAGTTATGAGTTTCTTCACATGGAAAATTACTTTGATCTTGTAATATTTGTCTGAGGTCAGATTTGTTCACGTAAATGGTAACAATGAAAAAAAATTGCCTACCAAAATCTCTGAATATGACAACAAGCTCATAACGTTACTTATCAATTTTTTTATGGGATGATTAATTTGACTACTCTCTTTCATTCATATTTTGTCTAGAATTTGATCCATAAGCACTTGATTATATATGAAAAGAATTTTACTTGTGAACTCTTTATTCATTTGACTCCAATGTAATTTATATTTAGTTATATATGACGTGTCTAATTACCTCAATTTTTAATTGGTTTGGAATCAATATAGTCTATAAATAAAAATACAGGGCCGCCACAACTGATGATTCAAGATTATTTGGTGATGAGTGATGTCAAAATCTGAAAGAGGAAACATAACACAACAGTACAAGATTATCCTTATGAATCTCATCACTCAAAAATGACGACGTATAAGGCATCGATCTACATAAGTTAATATTTTTCTTTCCCCTCATTTCATCTGGAAAATCACAGAGATATTATTTGTGAAGTATGAGGCATCGATCTACATAAGTTAACCCTTTCCTTTCCTCTCATTTTCATCTATTTAGGCAAAACATAGATATTATTTGTGAAGTGATATCATTATCACATTCAATCTATTTTATTAAAACAGATATACAAACTAATATTTATCTATTTTAAATGATTCTTATTACGGAAATGATTGGTAAGTGCTGTGAGTGCTCTCCACAGCTCCTTTTCTTTCTACAGTCACTTTATTATACCAATCATACTTTAGAAAATTAATTTAAAGCTACAGCCCTAAAATTAAAATAGAAAATAAAATGGCTTTGGATATCAGTTTTTCTAGAACTTTACATTTAGTGCTTCGAAAGTTATTAATATAAATCTACAGCAATAAAATCTACAGCTACAGTAATAAAATCTACAACTATTATTCTAAAGCCAAAAAAATAAAAGCCACAACACTTACCAATCATCCCCTACATTTCATTTATTGTAATCACTTTATTTATTTTATTTATTTCATTTATTATTTTGCCTAAATATGAAATCGAAATGAATTCGGTTTTGATGTATAGAAATTTTAAAACAACCAAAACTAATATATCAAATATTAGGATAGTTGTATAAAAATAACAATATTAACCAATTTGATTTGAGTATTTTGAATCCAAACTAAAAGTAACTTAAGCAAAGGAGCTTGTTGTTGGCTAAATCGTTGGAAGAAAAAGTGAGCTCCATTTGTGATGTAGAGATTCAGAATCTCAAACTTTTAGGAGCACAACTAAGGGAAGGGGTGAAAGCTTGGCGCTTTAGGGTTTTACAGGCAGAGCCGGTTTAGGGTATGGACCAGAGGTTTGTGAATCCCGAAACCCAACTTAATTTTTATTAAAATGATATTAAAGAGGAACCTAAATTTTTTATAAAAATTAGAATAAATGTCTAAAAATTTGAAATTAAGTGTAAATATATGTAAATATTTTTTTTGTCCAAGGGTCCATTAAAATTCTGAGCCGGCCCTGTTTACAGGATTCCGATTTAAGTTCAACTGCTTTCTGTAAATTCCATATTTGTCTCTTTTGACAGTTTAGATGAAGATTGTGAACAATTGAAAGAAAATTCAAACTCTCAATTGGTCTGGTCACTAACTTTTGATCAAAATACAGGTTTAACGGTGGGAGGTTGGTTTATCAGAGATCATATTTCGATTATCCAAATAATTACTAGGTAACGCTAAACCAACATCAAATCCGTTGTAGTCTAGCTGGTCAGGATACTCGGCTCTCACCCGAGAGACCCGGGTTCGAGTTCCGGCAACGGAGTTGACTTTTGCGCCGTAACATTGCCTTCTTTTGATTATCAGGGTTCTACGAATCTTCTCCGTCGTAACAGAGACATGGAGGTAAGAAACTGCACCACCTTGCCTTTAGTTGAAAGATACATTTCAGTTAAAGATCTAACTGTTGTATTTTGTTCAGGTCAGTAGTATCTTGTTCCTATGGACTTGGCAAAAACTTTAAGTACATCAAAAAAGTTTGGATGTGTTAATTCTTTTGAATGTGAAAAGCTTATTTGGTGTGTTAAATCTTTTTTTTTTATACAATCTTAAGGGTGAATCCGAAGTGGGTGGTTTACGAATCCATTATCTGAACAGAGCATCAATATATGCGGAATGCCATCAGTCACCACCATCAAAACCTTCTTGGCTGACAGAAGTTGTTCCACACTAGTTTTACCAGAACCGGCAAAACGCTATGGCCTTTGTTACACTACAAGCTACAGCCCGCAATTCAAGACAATAATAACAATTGCTCCTGACAACATCTTATGCAGTTTCTTAGCCTAAAATCAATGCAAGAATGCTTTGAAAAATGCAAGGGAACAGAGTTGCATCAGCTTAATGGAGAACAACTATATATTCAACCATTGAATCAGATTTTGCATGTTCATTGTTTCTGCTTCTTCTCACAGTTTACAAAATATAAAAGAAAATGACAAAAACCACCTGTCCTATTCAACTAAAAACCTCAGCGAACTTCTCAGAAACCAAAACTCCCGAATCAATAGACTCCAACGGATCTTTCCTGAGACGGTGCCTTAAGCAGTTAGGGATAACAGTTGCAACATCATCTGCAGTTACTCTATCTTTCCCTTTAAGAGCCGCAAGTGCTTTTGCCGCTCTGTTAGTCACAATGTCTCCTCTCAACCCATCAACATTGAGCTCAGAACACACCTTAGAGATCTTCACCTTCAGTTCCCTATCAATCTGAACAGAAGAAAGACAGCTTCTAGCATTTGTAATTTGGTCTTGAAGCTTGTCCTGCTCGGTCTTGTAAGTATCACGAAACTCCTTTGGGTTACTATCAAACCGAGCTCTCTCTTCAACAATCTTGACTCTCAAATCAGCATCTCTAACCGTCCCTACTTGTGCATGCATACCAAACCGATCAAGAAGCTGTGGCCTAAGCTCTCCTTCTTCAGGATTTCCAGAACCAATCAAGATAAACCTCGCCGGGTGAGAGATGGAGATCCCTTCTCTCTCAACTGTATTCCAACCAGAAGCAGCAGAATCAAGAAGCACATCAACTAAATGATCATCCAACAGATTGACTTCATCCACATAGAGTATCCCTCTATTAGCTTTAGCCAACAAACCAGGCTCAAAGGCTTTGACACCTTCTGTTAAAGCCTTTTCGATATCGATAGTTCCACAAACTCTATCTTCAGTTGCACCCAGTGGAAGATCAACCATGTTGATCTTAGTGGCAATAACAGGCACCTGCTCTCCTCTTTCAACTCTCTCTCTTACCTCAACACCCATGAACTCAGGATCTAAAGGGTCAGAGTTGTAAGGGTCACCTGCAACAACCTTAATCTCGGGCAAGAGATCAACTAAGGACCTGACGGTAGTGGACTTCCCGGTTCCTCTGTCTCCCATTATCATCACACCACCGATCTTGGGGTCAATGACATTTAACAAGAGACATAGCTTCATCTCATCTTGGCCTACAATGGCTGCAAATGGATAAACCGGCCTAGCACTCTTCTTTGAATCAAACTTTCCTACCTAAAACCCAAACCCAATCACCATTACATAAAAACAATCATATATGACTCTTTGTAAAAACAAGTAAAGTCTGAAACTTTATGTGAAAATGATATAGTGAGAACTCGTACTTGTTGTTCAGTGGAGTTGATTTCTGTGGCTACATTCATAACAGAGACATGGTGACGTGACCTGTTCTTCTTGGGCTTTATTTGGATTCCTGCATACAACGTTCTTCCATAGACTCTCCCTGTAAACAAGAATTGGCTATTGAGTAAAGAGTAGGGGGTTTAAGGGTTTGGAGAGATTTTTGAGTTACCAGGCCTGAAGCAAATGGGAGAGATCGAATGTGTTGAGGAAGAAGAAGGAGAAGGGGACGCACAGATTGCGGAAGAAGAAGTTCCCAGAAGAGAAGCCATTTTTTTGTGTGAGCTTTGCTTCTGATTGGCTTATGATGAAGATAAGGAGAGATAGATTTAAATTTTTTTGTTTTTGTTAATTCATTTTTTTTTAAATTATCAAATTGTTAGATCAACACATCACGTGGCATTTCACAGTCCCCAAAATGCTTAAAAGGCCCAAATCTTAACAAACTTACGGTCCATTTAACCAGAACCAAATCAGTTGCAATTTCAAATATTCCCTCTGTGCTCCGTCGGCGAACTTTCTCTCCGGTGTCGTCGTCTTTTCCCCGTTGAACGTTAGCCGTGAACGCCTACTACGGAATCAACTGTAAATCAATTCAATCGGTAAGAATTTTCGTCTGTTGCTCGTCGCTCGACTAGAATCCTACTCTCACGCGTCGCTCTAGCTCCGGTTAGTTAAGGTTCGATGATCGGTGAACATGAACTATTAGAGGTAGCGATCAAGCGTAGAAATGAGTTAGAAATATTCGATAAACGTGAAGAATGTGTTTGATTTTTCCTTCCGATTCTCCTAAACTGAGTTTCGTTCTGCTTCTTCTTCGTGTAAAAGTAGTTTTAGAGTGGCGTTTCATTGCCTCAAAACCTACGAATCGCCTGTGTTTCTCCTAAATATGGTGTTGATTCTCGAAAGAATACTAAAGGAACTTATGATTTGTGTACTAACCTTCTTCTTTACTTTGTGGCGTGACTGCTTTGTTTCATCAAGAACATAACAGCTTAGTATTTTTTCATTAGTGAATGATAAGATCATGATGGCATTTCTTTACTGTTTGCAGTAAACTGTTATAGAGAAATCCTGAACAGATTTTGCCATGTCTGCACCTGCTAAGAAAGGTTCTACAGAAGCTCAGGAAAAATATCTTATGCTCGGTAAGGTTTTAGTGTTTTTGGTTTCAGTGATCTGAGCATTATTGAAACCAACACGGCTAGAGGAGACTTTCTTGATAACTTGATGTTATGAGTTTTACATCAGAAAGATCATGCATGCTCTCTTTCAGTCTTGTTTGTGATATCTTCCTCATTGTTCTATTCCCCAATTCTTGGCCAGCTTTGGACTTTTTGACATAGATTGATATCTTAAGATGTTGTTCAGTTGTTAAGAGGGGTGATTTGTCCGTAGTCTCTAAATTTCCATGGGTTACCTGCAGACAAAGACATGGAAAAGGAAACATGGAACTTTAAGTCAATGGCCGATGATCCCATAGATTTTAGCTTTGGGTCACCATCACCAGCAAAGACGAAGAAGAATGTCTTCAAGCTGTGAGTGTTACCTATATCAATCATAGGGTAATCTTGTTTGATATTCGAACCTTTTTCTCCCTTCTGACGGGATTACTTCTGTAAGATGCTGCTACTTGAAAACAAGGCCTAGTCTCTCCTATCATTCATTTATGTTTCCCTCTCTCCTTTTCAGGGACATGGGGTTCGATCTTGATGGAGGTTTTGGAAATTTATCATCATTCAAAATGGACATGTCAGATTATGATTTCTCAAGCCCAGCCAAGAAACCCAGAAAAACGAAAGAAAACACTGAAGATAAATCTAGTGGAGGTTTCAAACAGAAAAAGGATCTGTTTGCCTTCTCCTATGATTTCGATGCGTATGGCTCCACTAATCAACTTCCTTTTTGAAATCATATCTATGTCAATCTGAAATTACTTAGCACTATTCTTTTCTGCAAGCAGGTTAGACGACTTTGATATTGATTCAAGCCCACCGAAGAAGGGAAGCAAGACAGCGACTAAGGCCATGAAATGCGAAGAAATTTCTGCTAGAAGTAAAGATGATAAGTCAGACTCTTTAGACTTTGGTCCAGACTTACCGATAACTAGACAAGCTGCCTCCATGACGAACATCAAGGCAAAATCTTCTGCTGAAAGAGAGGACCTAAATTCCAAGACTGCAGATACTATGGTTGTGGATAGTAGCGCACACTCGAAGAAAGCTACAGAAGAGAGGATGGAGAATTCTGAGGCAGTGAAATCACCTCAAGATCTAAAGATAAAAACCTCACCTACTCATGCCATGCATCTGCAACCTCAACCCGTAAACACTTCACCATTGAAGACGTCATGTGCAATGCTTGAAGATACAGATGATCCATGTCTTTCAAACGAGACCGCAGCACCCTCGCCGTTACATGCTTCTGAGACTGCACATACTGCTTCAAACAGAGAAATCAGTCCAGATTTCCATGAAATCTGCAAGTCCAGCTCAAAAGAAGACTGTCCTAGAGATCCAGAACAGAATGCAAACAATGAAAAGAGTTCCACCATGGACTCAAGCTATGAAAAGGCTGAACAGACTAAACCAAGAATCTCATCTCAGTTATGTGTGGACAAGATGGATCATCAACAGGAAGAGATGGGTACAGGCACTCAGGCAGAAAAGCAAGATCACACTAGAAGAACATCTGATCTAGATCATGGACATCCTCAGACAACTCTCTCAAGAAAAATATCACCAGGTTGTCTTCTAAGCCAAGCAGCCCAAGTACAAGATTCGAGTGGAAAACTACCACTGGATCCATCCCACAGGTTTAAAATAAAAAAAAACTACTTTCTGCTTTAACATTCTTCCAGTAAACTTGTAAACTGGCATAAATGTCTAACTACTTTATTCTGTAAACTGAGTGCAGCGTGCCAGGGCTCAGTGATTTAAAGACCACGCAAAACAAAGAATCGGGACTTATCCGATCAAAATTCTTTAAGAAGACAGAAAAACCACAATCCCATGTGCTGGAGTCCTCTCTAACTCAAACACAGAGTCAGCCAGTGACCGGAGAAAGGGTTGCGGTTAGTATGAACCTTACAAATGATAGAAGGTAACATTTATTTTCTTCATTGTCTGTCTAACTATCTTTTCACTAATATTTTCCTCTCCAAAATGCAGACATGATACTAAAGATGCGTTGCCTGGATCCAAAACTAGAACATGTCCAGTTGAGCTTGTGAAAACGGATTCTGAAATAGCAAATGTCAATTCTATCAGGTAATGAATGCTCTGGGAATAAATGCTGAAACATAATAATAAGCTCGGTAACATATTCAATTGTTTTTACCAGCAGTTCTCATGAAAAGATAATCAACAAGGACCACTCAAATGCCAAGACTGCAGAAAATGTGGCTGGACAGTTGGATCATTTAAAGCTGCAAGCTAAAAATAGAACTAGAGAGAAGTCCATATTGCAAATCAATATAAGGTGAGATAAACTCGTTTTAAGTTACTACTTTCCTATCGGTTGCCATGCTCTTGATTCCCTAAGTAGGTTACTACCTCATTCTGTAATAAATTTATAGCTGTTAAATTTTATCTATGCATTAAGCTTCCTTTCTTTTGTATTTTGTGACAGCTCAAAACTCGATGCTTCTAGCTTGACTCAGAAGCTAAGTGATAATTTGAGTTCTGGAGCCGAATCTTTTCAGAAGTCCAAGTTCGTATCTCTTGAAAGGCCTAAACTTGGAAATACGATGTCTGATCTGCGTTCTGCAAAAACTCAAAGGTACAAAAAGAATACAAAACAGTTTCTGGTTAGAATCTCACGATAATATATCAATTCAGATTCCTTAATTTCTTGCCTTATAGGACCACTGGAGTAACTAAAGACCAACTCAGTTCATTGGTGCAACCAGTAATGAACTCTTCAATAAGTAAGGAGAGAAATGCCGAAGCACCAGTTAAAAAAGGCTCTGAGACTCACCATTTGGCTCCTAGAGACAAAACTCAACTCCTGCACTGCCCATCTTCTTTAAAGCGGAAAGCTCTTGATGAGGTTTATAAACTCACATTTTTCGATGTTTTCTTTTCATGAACATATTTGGAGATTGAATGAAAGTCTTTGTTTTTCCACAGGATGCAGATAGATCACTGAAGCCGCAACTTAAACGCTTTTCCATGTCTCCAAGAGAAACCAGGTTTTTACTTTTTTCGTTGTCTAAACCATATCTATAGCTTTGCTTCTTAAGCTCTTACTTCTTGATATATTATGATACGACTGAGAATGAGCAGGAACGTTGAGGATCTAGCACATAGAGTTGCGCAAGGAAAGGTTAGATTCATCAACAAACCTTTGATCGTTATTACCAGGAACTTTTTGTATTTAATATACTTTAATACTTGTCACACAATTGATTTTCCAGTTCTCAAGCCAAGAGAGTAGAATAGATAACAATGCAACCAAGGAGCTTGTCAAAGAAAGTCCACGGAGTAGGTCTCATCACCAGATCATAAACATGGCAAACCTGGAAATCCCGGTCACGGAAAATAGTGCTAACATAGAGCTAGCTGAAGCATATACAAAAGAACTCGAGAGTGTAAGTTTCTTCTTCTCGATCATAGTACAACATTTCTAAACTGGATTAATCATTGCCTTTTGTTCCATTCTGCAGATATGCAACACTCTGAAGAAGAAGCATGAGGAAGCGAAAGAGCTAATTGTCCGTGTTCTAGTAAACAACAATAAACTACTGATGCTCAACCATCCTTTACATGAAGACAAGATATCCTTTTAATTATGTGTCGTTGTTAGATTTTGTCTATCTATGGCAATATATATGAACTCTTGTCTGTTTTGTTTCCCTTAATAAGCAGAAACATTCGTATGATCCAGACGTTTGCAGCCAAGTTGACGTTAAGGGACACTCAAACCACTACTGTTGCTTAAGAGGTAAAGAATCTTTACCTTTCTCTCAGAAACTATCTCAAGGGAGATTTTACCTGAAGACTATTAACTACTCGGATTGTTCATTTGTTGACATGATAGCATCATCCTATTGGTAATAGGTTCAGTGGACTTACACGGACACTATATTCTCAACAGTACAGAACTCTTGACGTCACGTTAGTCCAAGGTACTCAATCATGTTTCTGATTTGCTGGCTAGTAAAGAAAAAAAACGTCACATTTAAAATTTGGAACCAATTCGTTATGTCGGATGCCTCAAGTTAGGATCTGGAAACAACCGATATAGAGTACTCGAAAACCAATACGCAAAGAGTAAATTTACAAAAATCAGTATAATAGAAGAAATCATGATCTGGATGAATCAGAAACGGGCTAAATCGGGTTTATGTCTTGTTGCAAACGACGTGAAAGGATATCAATCATTATGTACGAGTTAGATGATTAGTAAATTGAATAGTTGGTTAATGTCATTTCAATTGAATATACACACTCAAAAATACATTCATACTAAGTTACTAACATACACTATACACACTCCGTATGTATCTAGGGTTCCACCTAGTAGTGCGCATGCGTGCATTACAAGCAGAAAATCCCATGGGCTCGAAAATGATGTGTAGTCATTTTAGGTCCAATTTTTATAAATTGATTTTCTATTTAAAAAAAAAAACAAAGCTCGGTGGTTCCCTCCTCGTCTTGGCGCACATCCCAAACCAAATGGCGCGTAAAGCTGTGCTAATTACAATGAAATGATTTGAGAGTTGTAAAAAAAATAAAAATAAATGAAATCATTTAAGATCTCCTCAAGTCAAAAGTCAACACTTTAAATAGCAAAAACAAAACCAAAATTTTGAACCGAAATAGAAATGGAGAATTTTTCTTTCCAACAGGAGTTCCCTCCATAACACAGAGCCCTTTACCAAGTTTCAGAAAATTTTAGAACCATCCTCAAAACCAAAAAATTCCCTCCAGAAAAAATGAAAACACCAAAAACTTCAAAAGCAAATCTCAAATCTATGAACTTCCAATTCACACACTTCATATACAGTATTCAGTTCCTCCTAATCCTCAAGTCCATCTCTTCTCTCTTTCCTACTCCATCTCTTTAATTAGTTGTACATTAATGGCGGCTCTCGATCTAACACCTCAAAACGACAACAAAGAGAATATCTCACCCTTGGAGATGAGTCAGATGACCACTACTTCTGTCAAGCCTTTGGATTCTTCTTCATTCATTGATAAAGACAAAACCCAGATCAGAATCAGGAGAAAAAGATCTAGAAGACAGCCTCTTAAAGATATCACCAATCTCTTTTTCTTGTCATCATCAACATTGTCCTCTTCGTTTCTGATTCGTCACTTCCCCTCTTCTTCAACACTATCAGTTGATCCCAAATTCATGAAGAGAAGATCTGGTGTTGGTCTCAAGGCTTATTCTACCTTCTCTTGTAGAAATTTCAGATGATTTTTGGAATTGGTTTATTATTATCATCTAGGAATTGGGTTCTTTTCAGACTTTCAGTTTTTCTTTTTAATTATGTATCACTTTTTTAATTAAGGGTATTTATCAATACCCTGTCATTAGCATTTATTCATGTACCCAACACACACTATATATTTTTCCGTAAGTCTACCGGTTTCTCAATTGTTACGATTATTTAGGAATTTCTATCCAGTTTCATTATAATTATGCTCCCTACAGACGTAACTGTGAACATACGAATTGTGATCTGGTCTGTTTTGATTAGCTCTTGGTTTTAGGAGGCACTAGCCAGGATTTTTTGAGATAGTAGCTATTGCAGTTTTAACCCAGCATCTCCAATCTCACGGTAAAATGGGGTAAAAATGTATCTTTTGTTTGTTAATGGCTGCATTTTCCACCCCCATTTTTTCTGTAAATTTTTGCAGTGGGGTTAGAAGTGAATCCAAGTTGCCCTTCTGATAAGTCATAACTGATAAGTAATAAGTGAGTAATAAGTTAATAAGTTAATAACTGTCATGAACTTTTTTTAGAGCATCCCCACCTTAATTTTGAGATTTACCCAGCTTCAAATTTTGAGTTTGAAAAATAACCTCATATTCATTATAACTAAGTTGGATTATAATTTTCTCTATAAATAACTTTAAAACTTACAATAAATAATATTACAAGCAATATTTGTAACACAGACCTCATTTTTGTAATATTTCATTCATAAATTTTTATTTCTGTATGTTACTTTATGTTGTAGGAATTTTTAACATAATATTGTTGATGTATAAATTTTGTTTTCTATTGAAATATTTAACAATTTTATTTTTTATTTAAGATATTCACGTAAACTATATATAAACATAATATTTATAAATATATTTATGTGATATATATATGTATATATATATATATTAGCTACAAGATTGTATGACAAAAAGATTTGAGGCAGTAATTATAAGGATTATAATGCAAATGAAAGATGAAATCTCAAATTTAACGTTGCTTTTGGAATAAATAAAACTTCAAATGGTATTTTACATAATTTTTAGAAATGTTCTTAGAGACAACAGATATATTTACAAAATCATCTTAAACATTTAATTATAACTTTTGGAATACAATCTAAGGATTACATATAATCTTCCAAACTCTCAATAAAATTATTGCATTTTGTAAAAAAATATTCTTTTAATTAAATAAATTTCAAACTTAACATCTATAAAAATACATTTGCAATCTCAAATTAAACATCTCTAATCTCTCTAATATGATATAAATATTATATATGATTTTCTAAACTCTAAAATGTAAAGATAATTTATTTAAAATGCATATTTATATAAATAAGAATTTGAAATCTTATCAATTATTATTCTTAATAGTTTTTATTTAAGTTATTACTAATTTTAGCATTTCTTTTTAAAGCTTATTTTTTCCTTTACAATAATGATGTTACTAGATTTTGACCCGCGGTTGAGAAGCGCGGATTTTGTTTTGGTTGTAACAAAATGTATCAAATGATTCGATTTTATTATATGATAGTTTTATATGTGAAATTTGATGTATATTTAACTTCTTAGTAGGGTATTTTCATTGAGTTTTGCATAACCGAGTCAGTTTTTGGTTGAACCGAGAATTAGAAATTTAAGTGTTGTGAGAGTATGAAGAATTAAAACACATATTAAATTGAAACCAAAATTGGATAGGTCCATGGCCTAAACCCTAAACCCTAAACCCACGATTCAAAAACTACCAACCCGCACCCGCCCCGCATAAAATACTTATAACTCGCACCCGTACCCGCCAATCAATTTTTTTAAATTGTTTGACCCGCACCTGTCCCGCAGCGGGTCGACGGTATAGGACCCGCGGGTGATGACTCAGATGCGCAACCCTACTTACATCCAGGAGATAGTTGCCCATCATACGGCTCACTTCGCCAGAAGCGACAAAGGGGGATGGGGAAGAAGGCTGACGACTACATGAGTTCGGTTCGCCAGTTCAGGCTCAACTCCTCGCTATATGTAAGCGGACCTATGGCTCGGGCCGGGTCTCCGCCAATTCTTAAAGAGTAAGCTCACCGCTTTCTCGCTCACTCTTTCTTCTTTCCCTTTGGCTGACCTATTTGAGATTTAGACCTCACCTATAACCAAGAATAAATCATAAGAATTTGAGTAATTTCTTCTGACATAAAACAAAAAATTGAAAGGCTGATCAAAACATTGAGTTAGTAGAAACATATTTCCAACTATATAAACAATTGTCATTTAATACAAAATCGAAACAGAAGTTTTCATTTTCAAGGAATACCTCTATATTGCCCAATCTAGCAAATCGTATAAGACATATCACCTTGTCTTCTGTTTCTTGGCTAACTGTATGAAGATTCTCAGCAAATTTACCCCAAAGACAGCAAGCTACTCTCTGACCACTAATAGAATTGCATATCAAGTTATAAATCAATATGTTTATAGTTCAATATCTTTTTTATTAAATATATAAAATTTACGAAATGAAGATATCTAAATCATAAATCTATATAAAACGATAAACTTACATTTGCATCACAAAAAATTAGTTCCATTGTCTCCCATATGTCTTTCATGAAATGTCTCCATGTATAAAGGATTTTGACTTGGATGCGACATGCAGTCTTCCTCGGTTTTATATCGCTCAAGAAAGACAACTGCAAAATTATTCACCATTTTTGTTTTAGGTTTTTCAAGGAATGATGAATATAGTGGTTAAGAAAGACTATATTTATAATAGGTAGGGACGATATATTTAGGTTACGCAAATGTAGGGCAAAATATTTAGACGATTTTAAAAAATATCTCTTTCGAGGAATAAGGAATATTTCTTAAAGATATTTTAAATTATATAGGAAGTTTAAAGTTAAACAGTTAATGGTAATCCAACTACGGTAAGTTACTGAAATTTATGGAATCCAACCAAAGAATAAATAACCACGATATTGATTGTGGTTGATCTATAAACTTGTAGATGAAACAATTTATTTATTTTAGTAGGAAGATAATTATAGAAAATAGTTTTTGCAATATTTTCTTAACAAAACGTATCTCGTCCATTAAATGTCACCATGAGAATGATGATATATCGACATATAAAGAAAAAACATGAAATGAAGGATATTTGAATGGATTCTCCATTCTCAAATGTTTAAAAAACATGAAATGAAAGACATTTGAATGGATTCTCCATTTTCCTTATATTTGAAATGATTTTTAGGTATGAAATATATGATAGAAGTAGTGAGACATTAAAAATGGTTGATATAGTATGCAAAACTCATGAAAATGTCGATATAGACAATATATTATATAATACATTAACAAATGTCTACAACTATAACAAAAGCTTAATATATGTAATATAAAGTGTACTATAAGTTTATATCATATAGTCTTTGAAATATAAGGTGTAGTACAACTGTGTTTTAAATCCTAATATATAAAATACATCATCATATCATGGTTAGACTCATAAGAGTTTATAAATTATAGTCTTTGAAATATATGGTGTAATACAACTATATGAAAATATTAATATATGAAATATAGCATCATATCATCGATATATGATGCATATACCAAAAAATGTCAACCAAAAATTATAATGTTGAAAATCTATATATTGAAATCATGTAATATAAGGTCTACAATCAATTACACTGGCTACAAAGTGTAGGCCAGTGTAGTATGAATTTATATCATATAGTCTTTGAAATATAAGGTGTAGTACAACTATATGAAAATCTTAATATATGAAATATAATATCATATCATGGTTAGAGTAACATGAGTTTATAAAGTATAGTCTTTGAAATATAAAGTGTTGTACAACTAAATGAAAATATTAATATATGAAATATAACATCATATTGATATGTTGTGTTTTTGACATAGAATAAGTATTCTCTACTAATGGTTTTTATAGTTTTATCGAGTCTTTCTAGTTGTTTTGAGTCATTGCAGGTTGAAGAGTTCTATAGATGAGGAGAATGATCGTGTGGAAAGAAAAGAGAAGAAAAGCACCCAACTTGAAGGTTTTCTTGACGTGAACATCTGGGCAAGATGTTCTCGTGTGATCAGAGCAGCTTGACAGACTGTTCCCCGACGTTCTAGGAAATAAATATTCTATTTCGGGATTTGCCCTAGTTTTCCCTATTTTTCTCTTCTGCCGCCTGTGGCTTATTATGTATTTCCCTTTAGGTTTTCCTAGGCTTTTTACCTTAGTTTTTACGCAAGAAAGACTTGAGAGCTTTGATTGGAGCGATTTCTACTTGTAAGGGAGAAGACTTCATCTATCTCCTTGAGAAGATCATCCTAAACCCTCTGATTTCTTATTTATTTTACATGCAGTATTATTCAGAAATCATGCTCTGTTCTTGTGTTATGTCTGAGTAATTACCAAGTTAGTTTAGGGTTCTAGGGTTGGTTTCGTGAGCTGAGCTTAGATAAGTTAACCTAAGATTGTCTACATTCATTTTCTTATCTTAATGCTTGCACCAATTTGATCACTTGTTGCATGAACTAGGATTGATTGATTTAGCTAACCGTTGATTAATAATCCGACATGAATTGAATGAGCTTAACATCCCTAGTCAGCGAGAGTAGATACTAGGGTGTTCTGTGAACTTAGCGGACTTGATCTCTAAAGCTTGCTGTCTTGTCTTGATCCAAACGACAATTTAGGTATTACGGCAGATCTGCAAAGGCAATCAACACCACGACAGTGGGTTGATTCAAACAGAGTGATCCAGGTTTAGACTAGCACATATCGAACTTGAATAGCAGCTCGGCTTGCAAATTCCATTTCCGTTAGGAAACCCTAGACTAGCGCCTTTAACCTATTGAAAACAACTCCGCTTGTTACTTACTTTTTAAGTTATTTCTTTTACTTTAAAAATCCTCTTTGTTTTAGCTATATTTTGATCCCATAAAGATAAAGTGTAGACTGGTCCTCTGGAA